TTGCTGCTGGTGTGATTTACTATCGCAAACGTCAAGCAGGACAACATAGTGAGTATGACATACAGATAGTTTTAAAAAGATTGGAAATGTGAGAATCTTTAATTAACCAAAGCAATGAGTGTGTTTAATTGAGTTTGTTATTGTTTACAGACGATGTTACAGACACGGTGATGCAGTTCAGTGATCAGGTAAGATACTACAATGAATCTGCCTGTCTGCAAAATACAGTTTCAGATCTGTGAGTTGACCAGTTGTTTTTGTTTTGAGTGGTTTGATTCAGAATTCATTGCATAAAAAACATCAGTAATAACTGACTCTTCAAGACAGCGCTGCTCTCATACTGTATTAGCTACTTGATAAGGAAACAGTGGTATGAATACATTTTGTAATTAATGATAATAATATAGGCTATTTATTATTATTATATTTACCAAGCAGTTTCAACCCAAGTCTAGGATCAGGGTTTAACAAATGTTTTTGTTACTACAGAAGCAGACCTTGAGGGAAAAAAATAGAAATTACCCCTAAATCCAAATGACACATAATATGCAAAAAAAAAAAGTACAGCTTTATTAGCACAGCAAGTAATAGCAATACTACTCTATTAATACTTGTCAATACTATACTTTAAGCATTTTAGATGTGCAGGCTGTTTAGGAAAGATTAATACAGATTTTCAAAAGCAAAATTAGAAGTCACAATAAGTCATTTTATTTTATTTTTTTATAGTTTGTAAGCTATTTTATAGAAATATTCAAATTCTTCCTGAATAGTTTATTTTAATCAATAATGTGAAGAGAAACACTCAATAGCACTCATCAAGTATTTTTGTGTTTGTGCAACTCAAACATCAATCCTGTTCATTTGCTTTAATTTCTGTGAATCTGTTTTCTTGAAGATGGAAAAAGACCCTGTTGATGACTCCTGCCAATGAATCAGACTGAAACTGGGGCTGCCAATGAGACATCACAGAAACTTTATTATGTTGATACTTTCATTTAAAGGGAACATAAAGAAAAGTTGGGAAACCAATAGTGTCACGATACCAAGATTTCAGTATTCAGTACTGATGCCAGTGAAACCAAATTCAGCTAATTAAAATTCAAACTAATTAGCTATAATTCAGTTTTAAGTGATTTAAATAATAAAAATGTAGCCTAATTTTTTTTGTTATTATGTAACATAGCTTCAGAATAGACAAACCGTAAATTAGCAACTAAATGATTAAAGTTTGAGAAAGCCTGACCAGAAAGTTTCGAGTAGTTTTAAAAGCATAATGTTTAAAGGTTTTGAAGGCCATGCAGTCTATCAGAAAAAAACAGACAGAATCAAATAACATGTTGGCTTTCTCATTAAGAAACAGAGAAAAATATTAATTCCAATAGTTCAAAGAGTGCTTGAGGGTTCTTTCAGTATGTCAGTGTTTATTAAAGGTGCTAAAGTTACATCTTTAGAATTTTCGTATTAGCAACTTTACAGTTCTACACGGGAAGATCCCTGATGAAAACACCAGTATGCTGTTGTTCCCAAGATTCACTGTACTAAAAACTGGTGTTTTCAGCAGAAATCCTTTTATATTAAAGTTAATAAGCTTTGTGCTTTTGTCTGTTTGTGGCGTCTTACATTTGTTGTTAAAGGTTCAAATCCTGCAAGGGTTGATCCATGAAATCTCACCACTGTGTCCTTGATCAAACTCTGAAACTCAGGAACTGAACCCTGAAAAAACTGAAAAAAAAAAAAAAAAAAAACACTGGGGAAAAATGGCAATAAAATACCAAATATGTGTTTTTTTAATGATAAAAAACACATATTTTTTAATGATATTTAATTAGTTTCAAAGCAGTAACTAAATCAGCATACTATGATCTCAAAAACATTGCAAGAATGAGATGTTTTGTTTCCAGTCAAGACTTGGAGAAACTTGTTCATGCCTTTATCACCAGCAGGGTGGACTATTGCAATGGTCTCCTCACCGGCCTTCACAAGAAGACCATTAGACAGCTGCAGCTCATCCAGACTTTCCTGTTTGTTTTTGTTTGACTAATAATCAACTGTTCAATTCTCCAGGTGTGTCTGGTGTTAGGGATGATGTGTCCTTGTCAGCGAATGAGGGAGATTCAGTCACTCTCCACACTGGTGTTAAAACAGACCAACAAGAAAAGATTAGATGGTATTTTAGGGACATTCGCATCGCTGAAATTACTGGAGATTTCAGTTTTATCTGTACAGATGTTCAGTGTAAAAATAGTGATGGGAGATTCAGAAACAGACTGAAGCTGGATCATCAGACTGGATCTCTGACCATCAAAGACACCAGAACCACAGACGCGGGAGTTTATAAACTAAAGATCATGAAAAACGGAAGAGACACTGAAAAGATCTTCATTGTTTTTGTTCATGGTGAGTCATTACATTTGAAAGCAAGTACATCAGGGCACATTTAGTGATATTGTTGCAGTGACATTCAGAGGTGTTTATCTCCTTACCTGCATTCTAATTCACATGTAGCACATAGATCATTTCTTCAAAAATGTTGCTGAGTCTGCTAAACATTCCTGAAGAACTGTGTTGCTTGGCAAAGCAGTTGTTATTTGTTATTGTTAGAAATCCATTATTAAGTTACAATTTTGTTTCCCTGTGCTTGTTTTGTGAAACTATGCCAGATATATGTAGTAATTATTTTATAAAATAAATAACCCTCAGTACAGTTTGAGGCACTCGGCTCTGCGTTGTGCTCAACATTGTATGAAAATGTGGTGGCAAATAGCACAATTTCCTGAAGTGAATCTGTAATATTCATAATATTCCTTGGTTGTATGATGTTCATTAGGTTGTTGAAGATCATTCATGAGACTATTTTTGTCTGATGAATGAATGTGTAAATCTAAGATGTTCTTCTGCTGTTTGTTTGCATGTTACGTTATGAATCCAGACATATTTCTCTACTCACAATCTTTAAACAGATAGCTCACCCAAAAATGAAAATTCTGTCATTAATTACTCACCCTCATGTCCTTCCAAACCCATAAGACCTTCGTTCATCTTTGGAACACAAATTAAGATATTTTTGATGAAATCCGAGAGCTTTCTGACCCTCCATAGACAGCAATGTAACTGAAATGTTCCCAGGCCAAGTTAGGTAGTAAGGACATCGGTAAAATATAGTCCATGTGACAAAAGTGGTTCAACCGTAATTTTTTTCCTTCTCCTTCGCGTCACCGTAGGCACCATTAACAAGAGTACCATAATGCATGCATGTGCATTCTTCTACTCGTAAACAAGGCTCAGCGCATGCGTGTTCTACGTCAGCAGCACCACACGCATGCGTCGTGGTACTCTCGGTAATGACGGCAGACTGTCCCAGAAAAGAAGAAATCGTTGAATAAAGTATTTCTTTGTGCACCAAAAGTATTCTCGTATAGCTTCATAAAATTACGGTTGAACCACTGAAGTCACATAGACTATGTCCTGTGTTTCTGTGCCTTGATCGGGGTTGTACCCTTGCTGTCTATGGGAGGGTCAGAAAGCTCTCAGATTTCAATAAAAATATCTTAATTTGTGTTCCGAAGATGGTCTTACAGGTTTGGAACGACATGAGGGTGAGTAATTAATGACAGAATTTTCATTGTTGGGTGAACTATACCTTTAAGATCTGTAGAAAATAATTTTTACAGCACTTTCCTTTTTTTTTTTGACTAATAATCAACTGTTAATTTATTTTCTAGGTTTTTTCAGTGTTGATACAAATGAAGAATCAGCGTTTGTGATGGAGGGAGATTCAGTCACTCTATACACTGATGTTAAAACAAACCAACAAGAAAAGATTAGATGGTATTTTAATGAAACTCGCATCGCTCAAATCACTGGAGATCAGACTAATATCTGTACAGATGTTCAGTGTAATGAAGGTACTGAGAGATTCAGAGGCAGACTGAAGCTGGATCATCAGACTGGATCTCTGACCATCATGAACACCAGAGAACCGGACTCTGGAGTTTATCGTCTACGGATCATCAGCAGCAGCAACATCAATGAAAATATCTTCATTGTTGCTGTATATGGTGAGTCATCATGTTTAAAAGCAAGTCATGAACATTTAAATTTAGTGATATTTTTACAGATTTTGTAAAAATCTGTATGTTAATTCACATAAAGATAATTTTGTCAAAAACACATTTACTGTTGAAGTGGAATTTGTAGATTTAAATATAGCCTACATTTATTACAGTATGCCTTAAAGTTAGTTAATTATTGGTTGGTTAGTTAATAATTTTTTAAGTCTTGTTCTGATGAAGATGAAAGTTCTGCTATCATCAGTTTAAATCCATCTATTATTTCATACTCAGTATTTTTTATAGTTCATTAGAAATTCAAAGTCAAGCAGATTTGAT